CTCCTGTGATGAGGGTGCACATGTCGAGCAGGATGCTGAGACATGTGGTTCAACCTTTAAAGCTCATACTTTTTCTTAAAAGGAACTTTAACCTTTTTTATGCCATTGTATTCGAAGCCTACAACCTTCATATTCCCTTTCTAGACATCGTCCATAATATCTGGATTTTTTATTTCTAGGGGAACAGATTCAAGTATTTTTTTTCAACTTTGGTCTTTAACAGACTAACATATTATTCCAACCTAGTGATAGTTGACATAAGTTTCTACTTTTCTTGGAGAAGATTATTCATGGTCTTCTTTTGTTTTTCTTCTCTTAAGTAAGAAGCATTCCATTCAGAAAGTAACACTCTAAAGGATTAGCAAGCTCTTCTATAGTCATAACTTCTTCATCTGACTCACTATAAGAGTCATATTTTCTAGTGAATGCCTTCAAAATATTTGATCTTTCTTATTTGCTATCATCAGATTCTGACCAATCGACCGATAAACCCTTATTTTGATTCTTCAAAAAGGTAGGACATTCTGCTTTAAAATGTCCATAACCTTCACATTCAAAGCATTGGGTGCCTTTTCCATCATTGAGTTTGTCTTCAATCCTTCCTTTGATGTCATACCTTTTGTCTTTGACATTTGGCATCCACTTTCTGTTCAAATACTTCAATGTATTGCTGAATTTTTTCCCAGACAGAGTTATATCATATGATAGACTTTCTTCTTTACCACCTTGAATCCTAACTTCCTTAGTGTTGAATGCAAATATTATACCTTTGTTCTTCTTTTATGCACTTTCATTGTTGTACATATCAAAAGTTTGCAGGGAACCAGTGAGTTGATCAACCTTAATATTTCTCAAGTCTTGAGCTTCTTCAATAGCATTCACTTTCATAGAAAACCTCTTAGGTAATGATCTGAGAATTTTTCAGGCAAGTTTTTCTTCAGACATCTTTTCACCTAAGGCAAAAGAAGTGTTCGCGACATCATGCAATTTGATGTGGAAATCACATATTGATTCTTCTTCATTCATCCTCAGATTATCAAACTTGGTGGTAAGGAGTTGCAGTCTTGACATACGAACTTTGGATGTGTCTTCATGTGCAGTTTTGAGAATCTCCCATGCTTCATTGACTTCTCAACATGTTTTGATCAACTCGAACATGTTCTTGTCCACACCCTTGAAGATAGCATTCAAAGCCTTTGAATTTCCAAGAGCTTCCTCATCTTCAACATCACTCCAATCAGCTCTAGTTTCAGACTGGTTGTGCCATTTTCAAAAGTAACTACTGACTATTTCCACCCTTTTAACACAACTTTCCATGTTTTGTTTCCCAATGATTTGAGAAAAACAACCATCATAACCTTCAAATAATCATAATTTGTGTCATCTAAAACAGGTGGTTTGTTGAGTGATCGTCCATCTTTCATTGTCTCAATTTGAGTAGAATTTATCTTCTCTGAAACTCACCCAACAGGTTAGGGTGCCTGATCTGATGATAATTGAAATTGTGTTTCTTAGGAGACAAATGTCAAACACAATATTCTAAACAAATGGTTCGACAACTGAAACCAGAAATTCTATAATAACAAGTACTAGATGATTGAGTAGAAAAGCAATAAAACACAACCAATTAGTAACCCAGTTTGGTGAAACCGCACTTATATATTGGAGGGTTGACTCTCCAAACTAAGAAAGAAAATTCATTATTAGTATTTTAGTACAATTAGTCTTATAAAAAAAGTTTATGACTTATTTCTTCTATGATAAAAATAACTTAAATAAGCACTTATAAAACTTACTTATATTAACAGGTGTATGGCATTTAAGCTCTTATATAGTAAAATGCAATAAAAAATGAGAACATTACATTGATGAATAAAATACAGAAGCAGGATTAAAGCAGAACAAAATTGTAGCTCGTAATGCAATTTCAGGGTCGTTTAAGATAGATATAGAAAGTCTGTAGAAGTTACAAGAATAACAACATTAGAAAATAAGCTAAATGAGGGAGGAAAAAATCTACATGTTACAAAATGCCTCGATAGATGTTCCATAAATGGTACATGCTTGAGCAGCAGAACAAAATCTAACGACATTCTATACAGTAATACCAATGAACCAAATGGATACAGTAGGTTCTGCAATTAAGATTAAGAGTAAAAAAAAATCAAACTGATATATACAGTCAAATTGAATAATTTTTTATCTCAAATTCATTGTTAATGCTGTTGGGAGGAGTTGTAGAAGAACATTAAAAACTCAATGCTTCATATATATACCTCAAGTCCCCTTTTTTTACTAAGATCAGCCATAGATCTACCACCGCAATACCGCTTATCACTGTAAAATTTCCTAAAACACCAATAATCTTAGGTCAAAACAAAAGAGCATAAATCCTAAAAAAACTTCGATTTCTATATTTCTGTAAATCGTCCCACTACCCGATTATTTTTGTTGAAGAACAGAAAGAGAAGAAAGAATAATAGAAAGACAGAGACAGTGGAAGAGAGAAGATATCATTTTTGAATAAGAGTAAGACACACAAATGTCAAAGGTGTTTCTGAGATGTGAGAAGATGAAGAAAGAAGAGGAAAAAGAAGATGAAAAAAAGTAAGAAGATGAAGAAAGTGGAGGAAGAAGAAGAGAGTAGGAGGAGAGGAAACGTAGTTGTGAAAGGAGAGAAAAAAAGTTGAATGGAAAAGTGAAAGCACATATTGTTTCTGAGATGTGACATGAAAAAAAAGGACATGGGTGACCGGACAACAAATTTTGTCAAGCATTTTTATTTGGTTTTAAAAAAAAAAAACAAATTAATGAGTTAAACAAAAGTCAAAACATACTAAAACATGGTTAATTTGACCAACCCTTGAAAACGGGATCTGAAATTGGTTTTTGAGCTTTTATCATAATGAGTTATGCACTCCAGATCTTTTAATTTTGTTGACGCTGTCCGTTATTGTGATTGTTTCATTCCACAACCCTTGAAAATTGGATGTGAAATTGATTTTTGAGCTTTTATCATAATTTGTCTATTATAGATAGAGGTTGATGAGGATCCAGCTGAGGCGAAAACGGACAACCAAGATGAGAAGACTGAGGTAATGTTTTGCACATACCGTGCATTCCTTGAGAAGTATTGGGACTAGGAGCTCACAAATGAGACACAACCTATCTGGGTTAGTTTTATGATTTCCAACTGCATGATTTGTGCTTAAAGTGGAAGTTGGTTACCTAACATGAAGATTTACACATTATTCTATTTGCGCAACTTCGTAATCCTAAAAAAGTAACCAAAGAGGACTACAACGAGTTTTACAAGAAAACATTTAATGAATACCTGGAGCCATTGACATCATCACACTTTACCATAGAGGTATGTTTTTTTTCTCAAGTGCAATTTTGTTAAGCATGATAATCACAATACTAAGTTGACAGCTAATATTCTGGTGATGATATGCAGGGTGAGGTAGAATTTAGGTCTATACTTTATGTTCCTCCCTATGCTCCATCAGGGAAGGATGTTGTAATCAATCCTAAGACCAAAAATATAAGACTTTATGTGAAGAGAGTATTTATTTCAGACGACTTTGATGGAGAACTGGTATAGACACTTTCTTGTACAATCATATTGACTTCTTGAGTAATTAGATATTTTTTTCCAGTATTTTATCATGCTCTGATGTATTACTTGAACAGTTTCCAAGATACTTAAGTTTTGTCAAAGGTGTGGCCGACTCAAATAGTCTTCCACTCAATGTGTCACGTGAAATTCTTCAACAGAGTCGCATAGTAAGTAGGCAGGGTGCAGACATGTACTTAACATTCCACAAGTTTTTCTTTGATTATAAACGTATAAAACTTTGTTATTTAATCTTGCAGGTGCTGTTTTTGGTGGATCCAACCATTACTTAATATATTCTAATAACCACCTTATGTAACTTATCTAACCGTTGTAAATTGTTACAATACATTTAACTCACTTGCATCTAATTAATTTTAACCAAATTACCATAAAGAATTAATCATTCTATTTAATACACTATTCATTTGATATAATTAATTTGCATTATACAATTAAATTTATCAATTTATATTTACAAATATATATAAATAAATTATATATCAATTGTCCGCACGGGTCTTTTACTAGTTTGGTTCAATAAAATAAATTTTAGACCATTTTTCCTCATTTTGATGATATGACAAAATTTTAGATTGGAACAAAGTTAAATTTTTCAAATCTTATTTTTTTATATTATAGATTTTCTGTTTTTTTATTCTTTTTCTTTCCCACTTGTACCAAAAAAATTCCAAAAACATGTCAATAAATATCTATTTTTTATGATTTAACTAATGTGTGTAGAAAAATAGTAACACCACCGGCCAAATTCAAAATCAAAATCAAAATTGCAATCTCAATCTCTCTCCTACACTTAATAAAAGATGGCTGGCGTTGTATGAAGATGATGGCGGGTGAGATTAGTCAATGAGGGGGATAGTGGAAGCATCACTTGAACACTGCCGGCCAGAAATATATGCTAATGTGAAGCTCTTTTGGCGATAAGTGCACAAGTAATGATTTGAAGTGCTCAAATATTCAGTAGTCATATGGATTTAAAGTGGCTCAATTTGGAATTCAGTCTAAGGGCGTGAATAATACTTGAAACAAATTCAATTCTCTAAATAACCGGGAGAATAACACTCCTCCACAGTTTTTCAATTTCAATGCAGGGATAGATTTATAAGTGTCACATCACAGCATTGATGTTTTACAAACATGGGATCTTTTATGAAATACTAATGGCATAGTCATACTACAACATTCACCTAATTATTATTTTCTTCCCCTTGAAATTGCTCCAGATAAGAAAAAGACTTTGGAACCGGGTAATAGAGATTCTGTATGAACAGCATCTCAGAAACTTCTACTTATCAAAATAAAACAGACAAGAGACTCTACGTCGATGAGGTGAGCTATCAGCTTGAACTAGTTTTCTGCATGCTTATTTTGCGTTTATTGGCTGTTCTTTGAAAGTATAATTGACACCTCGATCGCCATCAACCACCTGTCCCCTTCCCCTCAATACCCTGCATTGTATTATATCCACAATATTTAAATATGAGCCGAGAAAAATATCACTACTTGCATTTTTGTACAGTTGAAGTTCTATTTTATTTATTAAATCAAAGTCGACTTCCATACCATTTGGTTGTCAACAACCCCTCGACTCCTACAGGACCTCTAGCATGAATTCGACTTGTACTTATTCCGACCTGTTCCACAATTGAAAGAACCAAAAACATATGAGAAAAACTGAATAACTATGCTACTAATAACAATAGACTTTCTGGAAGATGCATTACCTCTGCCCCAAGCCCAAACCGTGCGCCATCACAAAACCGCGTACTTGCATTGTGGAATACAGCAGCACTGTTTGTGCATAAAACAAAAAATGGATATTTTTAACAACCAATAACATTAAGTAACAAGAGTTCTAAAAATGTAGTAGTTATGAGTTGACCAAAAAGAAATGCATACCTGTCAACTTGAGATAAGAAAGTCTCAGCAACTTCAGAGTCTTCGGTGACAATGCATTCAGTATGAGCACTGCCGAGATATCATATAAAGCATGAGACTTTTTACACAATAAAATTAGTGATTCAGATAACAAAAATGAAATTTATTACGAGAGGTCGAACTTGCCTTCCATGTTTATTTATGTGGTTAATGGCAGCAAAGACGTCGTCTACAATTTCAATTGTGCAAGCAAGTGAGCTGTACTCATGATGTAAAGAACTCGCTTCAGAAATATTTAGCAAGGCACTAGCTTTTGGTCCACCATGCAATTCAACACCTGCAAACCATTTTTCTTTGTTAATAAGTGTTTTCAAAATCAGCACAAAAATGACTAGATTTAATCACATAAAAAAGAACTCCAATTTGAACAGATGTTCTTCATATAAATCCATTTAGAGGTAAGATCAAACCTTCACGTTGGAGTTCGAGGATAAGCTCATTAAGTCCACCATTAGATGACAGATCCTTGTGTACAAGAAGAGTCTCCTAAGAATTTCATGACATTATTTTAATGAGCACAGTCCAAAAACTATATTTACATCACAAAACATTGCAAAGGATATGAATGCTAATTACCAATGCATTGCAAGCTGCAGGGTAATCAGTCTTTGCATCCATAACTATATGCTTTGCCATATCAATATTAGCAGACTTGTCAACGTATATATGACAAATTCCATCTGCATAACAGAAAAAATATCAATTGAATCCCTAGTTTATTTTACAAGTCTAAATGTAGTAAATTTATATTTTATATATGATAATTACCGGCGTGACCAAGAACGGGGATTCTTGTTGACTCCTTGATTTGAGAAACCAGCTTATTACTGCCTCTAGGGACCACAAGATCTATCACATCATCAAGCTGCGGCAGAGTTTAATTATTAGTGGAAAATCATCATACTTTAGAATCATTATAAGGATTTTCACTTGTAATATCTACCTTGAGTAGATCTGGAATTTCATCTCTTGAAGTGACAAGCCCAATAAGTTTGCTGCCAACTGTATCTGGCATGACTGAAGTAATGATCTACAGTAAAGAAGAAATATGTAAAGATGGAAACTTATTTATAACTTAAATGATGATCCAGATTGAACTGAAAATACTATAGCCTCAACTAAAATAAATAAGTAAACCTTGTGTAAGATCGCATTTGATCTTCGGGCTTCCTTTCCTCCTTTAAGTAATAAGCCATTCCCACTTCGGATTGCCAATGCGGCTATCTGTTAATTCATATAACAAGCAACTTACGCAACAATATCCAAATTCACTAAAAGGAAATATTGCATGAACAAAAAGGATATATTTAAATATGATGATATAATGAAAGAATAATCAACTTATACTAGAAAGGTACTTATATTTGTCATGTGAAGTAATTTTTGAAAATGAAAGATGCATAAGATAGGATGCCTAACGAAACAATAATCAACTTATACTAGAAAGGTACTCATATTTGTCATGCAAAGTAATTTTTGAAAATGAAAGATTCATAAGATAGGGTGCCTTAAATACCTGAACAAGAGCATCGGGTCGTGACTCAAATATAATCAGGAGGACACCAAGAGGGCACGATGTTTTCTCCAATACAAGGTCATCAGCTAGCTGAGCAATCAGAAATGTCTGAATGAGTAAACTTAAGTTTTTGTTAAAATGTGTCACTGACTATATTTGTTTATCTTAGTTCAAGATCAGTGAACGTAAGTTTCAAAATTCATTTTAGAATTTGTCATTTAACCAAATACTGGAAAGATGTTAAATCTGTCAGACACATTAGAAGATATTACACATGTTACTAATGAGATGAATAAGAGTTTGAAGGACCAACACATTTGTTGGTCTAAAGTGGCAAGAAGCTATGTTATTCTTACATGGGGTTTAGGATTCAAGTCTTGTGGATATAAAAAATAAACACAGAAAGTTTTGCCCCTTTATATGAGTCAACCTAGCTCGGCTCGGATTATATAAAGGATCTAGACCAAACAATATTCGAGTTTGGAGTATAAGAGAGCATCCTTCAAATGAATGAAAAGGGGTTTTGAACTGACCTCAGTTCTCTTCAAAATCTGGCCAATTGGTTCTTCCATATCTGCCAGCACGCGCACAGACTTTGCAAGACTAGTGATCTGTTAAGTACAAAATCAAAGGTCAGACAAAACACATGCTCACATTCATTAAAAATCATGTTTTGGGTTGTGAGGAATCAGTGCCAGACAAAGAAAATAATCAAAATCTAGGTGTGGTATCCTTAATTGTAACTCTAGTATATGCAACCAAATTAAGCTCTTGCCTTCTCAGGCTTCAGGGTTAAACGTGATATCAGAGACTTGTCATATCCGGCTTCCAACGCATCAGCAATATCAGCATCATTCTCTAACCTTATCAGCTTTTGGTTTTTCTCCAATGCATCAGCCACGGCCAGCAATATTTCCCTCCTTTCTTCAGATTTTAGGGCCTGAAAGCCAAAAAAATTAAACTTGTATTTTGAAAAATACAATGAGTCACCAAGCTCATTTTGTACCCCTATAGTTCTTCATGAAGGTGAATGTGATAATATTTTAAAATTTAATTGAGCTAGTTTAGTGATAAAACTAATGTATTTATGTGCTAATATGTGCAAGAACAATTTAGATATTTTCTCATTATATAACTGTTTTTACCTGAAGACGTCTAGAACTATTTCGTGCTGCAACTGCCATTTCATGTGCAGTCTCTTCCTTTAAGCTTTTCCACAGATGTGCATCTTTATGAAAGACGGTCCCTATTTTCTCCCCTTGAAGCACTCGTATGATGTTGTCGGTGGCATAGCCACTTAAACGGAGTTGAAATACAATTTCAAAATCAGTAAAATGTAAAACCCAGAGGTTTACTTGAAATCATGCACTACATTCAAATTATAATATTACTCGTGACAGATATTAGAATCCTTTTTCGTTACATGAACTAATCACGGGATAATAGATGCTTTTTGTAAATACAAAGTTGTTGCAAGCGAACAAAATTCCATTTTTCTTTTTCTTTTTTTCTCAAGAGTTACATGCACTATGAGCTACTATAGTCATAGACAGCATGATAGACATGTGCATTGCTTTTTGATAGCATAAAAGAAATGAGCCACACTTTGCACGACATGGTAAAAGTGAACGCTTTGTTAGAGAATGAAACACAGCACAAAATGGTAAATACCTAATTATAATAACAGGGATACCAGCATTAGCAGCAGAAACAGCGGCAGCAACTTTAGCAGTCATACCCCCTCTGCCCAATCTTGATTTGTCTCCAAAAGTAACTTCTTTTTGATGTTTCTCTTTTATATACGTATGGATTAACTTTGAGTTTGGATCATTTGGAGGACCATTATAAAGGCCCTCAACATCACTTAATAAAACAAGAAGGTCAGCCTTAAGTTCAAGAGCTAATAGACCAGCCAAACTGTCATTGTCCCAAAATATACCAGAAGAATCCTGCACATGATGCTTACAATTTAAGGAAATACCAAGTATTACAAAGCCACCATGAGTAGACCACGTTGTCAAAAGAAAAATAAAATTTTAAAAAATAGAGATAATTCATTGAAATTGGGCGAAATATATTTTTAATCACCATAAAATTGAAACAAAAAATGACTTTGATCCCTACAGAAAATTATTCCTTTTCATTACGAACAACAACAAAACTAGTATATTTTAGGGACTAAAGCAGATAAAAGAAATTTAGGGACCACAGTCAAATTTCAACAATTTTATAAGGATCAAAGATAGATTTAACCCAATGAAATATTGCAAGAAAATCTATAATACCTCATATGGTGCCTTCCTAGTACTGACAGCATCGTTTTCATTGAAAATGGGGATGACCCTGCACTCTAATAACGAGGTAACTGTTTCTGATAGTTGTTTTCTGAAGCCTGAATCTCTAAAAAACCCATCATTCACTAGAAGTTGGGAGGAAGTCACATCTAGCTGCATAAGGGAAAAAAAAATTATCAGCATCTTTATGGAAGAAGAATTTTATCAAAAAACTAACATGAGCAAACAAAGTTTTGGTTCGACCTGGCTAAACATGGTATCATATAGAGCCATGAGACTACTCTGCCCAACAGCGGCGCATGCTTTTCCATCAAGGTCACCTTGTGGCTTTTGAAGATCAGAAAAGCTGCATGACAAATAAACAAATTTTTTTAGGTTTGGCACTCTTGTTCTCTATTACTCCAACACAAATTAGTATAAGCTTGTTTATATGAACCTGCTATTTGCCAATCTGCGATATCTAAGTCTTTGTTTGCCAAGACCAACAGCACCTGAAGTCACCAATATAACTTCATAGCCTTGAAGGTTTAGTTCTTTGAGCTGCAATTTCAACCAAAAGACAGCTTTCAGTAACAAAGTAATAAGTCTAAATAAAAGCATTTCCTCTTCGACATTGATAAACAATTTAATTAAAAGTTATTTAATAAAATATCATAGGAAGTTTAATTAAGTGCTTATGCCATGAAATAAGTCAAAATAACCTCTTCTGAATACAATCATACAAATGTATCTACACATACCTGCTCGCATAGAGCTCCAAGTCTACCCAGTGCTAATCTTCCATCACTTCGAGTAACAACCGCTGTTCCAACCTTCAATAAAGAAAATCAAACAAACAAAAACTAATTACAGAAGTAGCAAAAAAAATGGGAATAATATTGTTAACCAGTGTTCTAAAAGTAATGACTATCAAATCAATAAATCAAATATTTGTATCGTAACGATTTTACTTTTGATTTTTTAACCACACACACTAGTTCGCGGTCACTATAATACATTTCTAGGCAAAATAAAATTAACACAATCTATAATATAATTACACAAATTATGCAAATAGATTGCCTGGATTCACTCATTTACACCTGCAGATTTAGATCGTCGGACTTTAATTACACAAAAAAACAAGCCGTCCGATCAAGATATATCACACGAATGTGTGACTTTGTTGACGCCCGGGAATTTAGGTCAGTATACATATAGAAAATTGCAATTTCAAATAAAACTAAAAGCAAACGAGTTTATTAAAATCAGTTAGAGCTTAACACATCAGAAAATACAATTCCGAAAAGAAAAAAAAAATCAAATTCACGTCAATCTTCGCATACGAATATACGAATAAGAAACTGATTAGCATGCTTTCCTATACATTTTCCAAATTCTAATAATAATCTTCAGTAAAATGAAAACTATAATCAATAAAAATCTAATCCAAATTGTTGAACTAAACACTAGATTACAACAATGCATATAACCAAGAATTCAGAATAATAACAACAGTTATGAGAAAATTGATGCTGATGATGAATTAAAGAATTGATGAAGAAGACCTTGACTACAATTCGATTAACAGACTTGACGAAATCTCGAGATGAATCCATGGATTCATTAACGGACTTGACGACAAAATTTAGAGATGAATCCATGGAGTTCAAAGACTGAGTCGAGTTGAGTCAAGATGAACGAGTTACTTTGAAGTAAGTGAGTGACGGAGAGACCCGAGTTGAGGGAAAAACGAGTATTGAGTATTGGAAATTCTGAAAATGGTGAAAGCGGGAGAGGAGAATATATAGTTACACTTAATTTGATGTGGTGCTGCCACGTGTCCACAAAATTCAAAGGAAAATATGGGTCCTACGAATCAGGGATGTTTAAGTCTTTATCATTTTTAGTTGTATATTTTGGTAAATTTAGTTATTCTTATAGTTTTTATTGAAATTAAAGATAGTGAACAGTATAATCAAATAAAAATTTATTAATTTATCATATCAACTTAATTTTAAATTATAAAGAGTTAGACTGAATATATCGTTTGTTGATTGACCGTGTAAAATTTTGTATTATTATTTTAAATTTTCTTTTATTATAATATTATTACTTTTAAATTAATTGATAAAATGGAAAGAAAAGAAATTGATTATTAAAAAGTAAATAAAACAATGGTCAAAAATTATTTTGAAATATTTATGACCAGGTTCATATACTCTGACCTGTACCACTATTCTTTCTTTTTTTTTCTTATTGACAATAGTGTTATTTTAAATTGTATTTATTAACCATTGTATAGTAAGATAATTATTTTAAATTATTTTAAATTTGAATTTATTAACCATTGTATTTGTACACAAAACCAAGAGTATATTTTAATGAAAATGTTAGGTAGCACATTGTTTGTGGGAAAATATTAAGTATTTATAAAACAAAAATTAAACTCGTAATTTGTATAATATACTCCATTTTTTATTTTAATAAAAATAATATTTTAATTTGCAATTTGTGCAACAAGCAATTTCTATATATTTCATTCAATATTGGATTTATATGTTTGAATAGCATTTTCTTAATATGCTAAGGAATATTTTTGTGAAACTATTTAAAAATTTAAAAAATTTAGAAATTTTGTTTAGTTATTAAAAAATAATTTTTTATATAATTTTTTTAAGAGTGTTCCTAAAACACTTGTTAGCAAGATATTATTATTATTATTATTATTATTATTATTAATATTTATATGGTAAAAAATTATACATATATTAAACCAAATTATTATAATCTCATTAAGTCAATTCACTATATTTATATAAAAAAAAGGTTTCAATTCACTTAGGTAAGAAGAATTTCTTTTTTTTCTCCCTCAAAATATTTAACCATAAAAATAATGACATGATATGGGATTTTTCAAAAATTATCAATTTGGCCCACAAAAATATGTATAAATTTTTGAAAGTTACATGATATTTAATAAATGATTGACAGGGTAAAATTTTTGAGGAGGTTCGTACAATAAAAAACGAACTCAATTTTTTTTTACATGCCATTTTTAAAACTCATCTATACGACAGAAACAAAATATCTATTAATTCTTTATAAAATAACATCTCTTTAAGATACTTTGAATATATTTTACTATATAAAATAAAAAATACCTGACAGAACAGTACTATATAATATATAATAATACAAGATAATTTTTATATTGTACTGCAGTACAGTTTTTTCTCTATTTTGTTTGGTATGTCTTTGCATCATATAAAATAATATAACAATTTTTAATATAATATTTTTTACTTACGTAGTCTTCTTTTAATCGTCTTTTAATGGGCATGAAAGTGAAAGACAAAGACATATTTCATAAATGACTAGACTACTCCTTATAAAAATAAAACATATTCGACTTAAAATATTATTTTTTGGTATGTATAATTTATTTACAATTAAATATATTTTACTCTATATTACTTTTTTTCCAAATTATAAATCATTTTGCAAATAATATTTTTCTTAAATTTTAAATTATTTTGTTTTTTAATATACTTTTTATCATTTATTTATTTTTTCTTTTTATTTTTTAAGTCTATTTTTTAATATAATTAATAAAAAATAATTTTTTAATTTATATAACATAACAAAATAATATATTTTTATTAAATAATAGTATAAAATATTTTTACGGTCTCAAAACAGAGACATGTGCTAGAGACCAAAATCTGCTAAAGACCACTGACCACCCATGACCCATGGACACATACGGCCAAAACAGAAACATGTGCAGAAACGTTTCAATATCTTTTTATTATAAAAACCTGTGGTCCAAACTCTTAGTACTTATTTTAATTTATACGCAGAAATTGTGACAGAAAAAAATAATAGCAAAAAAACTGTGGACTAATTAATAACATAAAAAAATATTATAATAAAAAAAATCAAAATATTCTTATAACAACTAACTAAATACGTGACTATAAGAATAATTACAATAAAAATCAAATATTCTCTAAGTAAAAACTATTTGCATTAATATAATAGATTTAAAAAATAAAGAAATATTATACAGATATTTAATCATGGGATATATTTTTATATTATAATAATATTTTAAAAATAAAAATGTAATAGAATTATTGAAGGATAACTTAAAAGTATTATAAAAAAATCTTAATTAATAAATAAATAAAATTAATTACTATACACTGGTGTAAATTTACAATGTGTATTACTTTATTAATAATTAAAATAAAAATTTAATTTTTTTTAACATCTAACCGTTATAATTAATTAAAAGTATAAAATTATTTTACACTTTCAATATATTTCAATTAAATCTTAAACAAAATGTCTAATATAGAACAAAGAATAAACATAATAATAATAATGTATATTTTTCATATAAAATTTTAAAAAAAATAAAGAAGATGAAGAATTTGATGATACCTTAACAACCAAACGCTTAACCTTGTTGACAAAAATACGAGAAGGATCCATGTTGCTCAAATCCTCTGTTTCAGTTATCAAGTTAAGATGATTTGTTGTTCCATTAGAAAGGGGCTTCTCAGAAACTTTAGTTTTTGGAAACTTGGCAAAGCCATTTTGCAAAACTTCCATTGTTTTCATGCCAATTTTGATGGTTTGTTAATGGAAGAAGAAGGTACTGATGGTGTGAGTGAGGTTTAGTTCAGAAAGACAAGGGCTTTTAAAGGCACTCGATTTGAGGTTTGTCCTTTACCAACTACTATTTTTAATTTGATACTAGGTATTTTTTTGTGTGACACGGCATATACCTTTGTAAAATATTGTTCTTTTTTAATCAAACAGCTAGCCCAATAAAAAATATAAAGAAAAAAAAAACATTAAACTATAAAAGTGTTGGAACCGATGGATCTTCTTATTTATAAAGTGTTTAATATTTGTTTTTTTATATAATGTAAAACTCATACTCACACTTAATATACTAACAATTTTTTCCTTCAAGTATGAATTTATCCATTCTTATTAGGATTCTTCTCCTCAAATGGAATTTTACCATGCATATATACCTACACTGTCAGTGCAGCATTCAACAGAATATGTCGCCTTAACACTTTTGACAAGACTTTCGATACAAGAAGTCTCATTCAAACGGAGATCATGTAACATTGTTGTGTCATGAGAGGGTTCGGGATCATCACATTGAACTTTACACACTGTAAATGAGTTGGACACCATATATTAACCCAAAACCTCATGGCATTTGAGGTATGGATTATTTCTCTTATATTCAACATTTTCTAAATTTCTAGTATAGGTGGGACTTTAATCACTCACACTTGAATCAAAATAATCTTTTCCACAAGTGTGAGTCATTCACATGACTAACATTGTTCCATATTAGGATACACTTGTGCTCCCTCAGTGATCCTAACCATGGCTCTGATACCACTTGTTAGGGAGTTCGGGAAGAGAAACACCGAAAGTGGCAATGGACTAAATGTTCATGGATCCAAGAAACCTTGACACCACGTATCCCCCAAAATATGGCAATGTTGATCATCGTTATGGCGGCGCAGAGTAGACCTGCATGGTTAGCACTCTAACGTCAAGTTAGTTCAAGATGAGTATTATGAAAAATAGAGATCAAAGATGTACCTTGCTCTTTGTATTTGAACTGATTTTATACCTTGAGTCAAGTGGAGTGAATTTGAGATGAATTAGGTTTAGGTATTTGGGCTTTTGGGCAGCCCAAAACAATTTTCCTCAAGGTTTTGTTGAGCATTAAGTGAGTCGGAGAAGCCTTTAACAATGTTGGTCGGTCTCCAATGATATCGCTCGAAGAATGGGGAATGACACACTTGGAATCAGTTGAAAAGGTAGTGGAGAACAAAAATGTTAAATGATTTCTTATCACCGGAACGTTGCATTACCTTGCCCCCTAGTGCGCCACCCTAGGGGACAAGTTAGGGAATAATTTCCCTACTTAGGACACTTATGTGCCTTCGTCGTTTAACACCCTTATAAACCCCGCAGAATATGTATAAATAATCAAAGTAATTGTCATGCATCTCACAAAAGGGTGTCACATATATTTTCAAAACATCGCACAAACACCCGTCATGCTCAATAACAGTTAAAATAAATTAATGTTTTTCATACACTTTCACATTAGCATGTAGTAGCGGATTTTACTTCAATCATAATAGACATAATGAAAGTCTCATGTTCATCTCATTCATAATCAATACTTAGGCATAAAAGCCAATACTTCATATAATTCAAAATAACAATAACAGAATGAAGTAGAGTACATAAAGTATATCGCAAAACATAAAATCCAAACATCTCCGTGTTACATGATCAAAGCATGACTCGACCCAAAATAAATAAAGAAATTAAGACAAGTTACTCCAACGGCTACCTCGCGCTAGAAACAACTATACTCCTCGGTACCTGAGCGATGTCGTATAAACATCATTCCAACAAAAGGGTGAGAATTAACATAATTATCGAAATCATAAGATAATATATAATATATAACATACAAGCATAACATAATGATTCTCACACTACAAAAAGCTTCATCAACATATTATAACTCAAGTAGCCAACCATTCACAAGTACATACTCACAATTCCATAACATCATCAATTCATCAATTTCACATATTCACAATGCGACTCAATGGAAGATTCAAATGCAACTCATGCATGTGGTACTAATCACTTGTTATTATTTTTCGATTTTTACATTAAATCGGGTCCGTTCCCTAGAACAATAACACACAAAAAGCTCGTTCCATAAGCTTTCAAACTCCGCTCTAGGTTTGAGACAAGTCATTAGTTCTCACGAAACTAACAAACATTGCCTCTTGACACAAATGATGTGTGTGCAAATTCAACAATCATATCTAATTAAGACCATACTCAAATCTTAATATTCATGCATATCTTCAATAATTCATCACACTTGAATTACTACACATTTGCACATACACAAATATCAACACAATTCAACCTCAATTCGCAAAACACTTATTGCCGATTAATTATAAAATAATTAATCCATCATCAATAATTAAATTCAATATTTATAAATAGTCAATATTCAATGAATAATTCGATATTCAATAAATAATTCAATATTTTAATAAACAACCAATATTTTAATAAATAGTCAATATTTAATAAAGTTTCAATATTTAATAAAATTTCTAATAGTTAATAAACATTCAATATTCATGATGTCTAAAAAAGAAGTATCAATAATTAAATAAAGATGTATTATTATTATTATCATTACTAATGAAATGAGATATATAATTATAAAAAAATTCTTAAATGTGATGTCTAAGAACTATTATTAAATATAATTCCTTTTGGTCTAGATGTATAGAAACAAGGTACAATAACTAATATTATAAATTAGCAGGTTTTATTTTAGCTACTAACATGTGCTACTGTTTACAATTTCCCATATTTCATTGGCTTCAATTGTGCAATGCTACAGTAAGGGATTTCTAGCACATGAAATATTGTTCCTGGCACTATGCAATATTACCTTTTTATTCCATAATTTTTCTGGCCTCACGCTACTATGACTATTAGGTGGAAAAGAAAAGATCAATTACATTCCTACAATTCCCTGCGCTACAATATAACTAGTGGAAGGAAAGTATTACTTTACATTAATTACTAGCTTGGCTACAGTACTAGAGGTAAGTATCACTACATTAAATTAATTATTAAGGACCACTTCGTATCTTATATTAATTATTGTGAACATTCAGCCTAACCATAAATTGTTTGAAATTCTAGTAAAAGACAGTCGATGTTATATCGGTTGTTATGACATTTGTTTCTGAACAGTTTATTAAATTTAACAGTAAACAAGTAACAAAAGCAGTAAAAAACACAGGAAATTATTTACCCAGTTCGGTGCAAATCACACCTACCCTGGGGGCTACCAAGCCAGGGAGGAAATCCACTATAAACAGTGTTAATTCAGAGCTAAACTATCAGTTTACAACCCCTCACTTAAGACCTACACAATACAATTTCAATCTAACTCTAGACCTGAGTTCCTACTCACTCCCCCTCAATCACAGCAGTGATATCAATCAAATAACGAACAAATTCAAAAAGGAAGACACACTTCAAACAAATCTTGATCTTGCTTAAAAGCTTCAATCAAGAGACATAGCACTCGTGCTTAAAAGCTTAGAGTGACACAACAAAAATACAACTCAAAAAACCACACTAGTCCAATACAATCATCTAGGTGATAATTGCTTGGTGTCGTTACTCGAAAAATGCAACGACTGGGAGGCAAAGAGATAGACAGAAGAGTCGTCTCCGAACTTTATTTATCCAATGAGGGGAAGGGAAAATATCGAGAAAACCCTAAGAAGAGAATGGATAAGATGGTCTCGCGACCAAGAACGGGTTCGGAAGCCGGTTATGCAAAGGGAAGGTATTAGCACCCCTCACATCCATCGTACTCGATGGGAACCATTTGTTTGTCGATGCGTGAAGGTATTTGCTAAAAGATTATTGCTAAATGAGTGTGTTCTAGGGGATAAAAAGAAAGGTTAGAAGTCGGAAAAGGAGAGGTAAAATGGGGAAAGAAAGGACTCGATAGGACTTCGCGGTCCCAGGCCTACGTATTCTCAACAGATATGAGAAAGTCAGAGTCGACGTAGTTCGGGAAACTACGGGTGATAAGGGGTGTTGTGCTCGCCAAGAGATCGTCGTCTTGTGCCTACGTATTCTCAACAGATATGAGAAATCAAAGCAAACATAGTTCGGGCTAAGGTTAACTGATGTTTTGTGGATGATGTTATCGTGCGCATTCTAGAAGTTTAGGTATATTGTTGCTCGACCATTGGAGACTTAGGCGTTACCTGTTTGCGGTAGAACGGACGTAACATATCCTTTGTGAAAGATTTAGTTTTCGCCATGCGAGACAAGGTGTCGCGTTTGACTTGTGAGGTTGTTTTTTAGGGGCGAGATAGGTCATCGGATAGTAACCCCTTGCGGGTAGTACCCAATTCATTATCTCAAAGTTTTTGTTATAAAATGGTGTGGCAAACGTAGCATCTTCGTATTGAAAGACGAGTATCAAGACCACACACACTACAGTGAGTATCCTGACACTCGGAGAGGAAGAAGTTTACACTCAATCCTCTCTCTTTAGTTCAACACAAAGAGAACTCCATTCCCTTATTAAAAGATGTTTTTGGTTTTGAATGGTAAGTGCTTTGCGAAGGTAAACCCTATGGTAAATGTCAAGCACTCGGGATATGAGAAGGCCTACGCCTAAGCACTCCACGACCATTCAAGTTTTGTGTTGTCAAAATAAGTTGAAAATGCACTCGATGCGGTACCGAGGTTTTAGGAGAAAAGGGTGCGGCGAATACGGTTACGTCTTCGTATTGAAAGACGAGTATCGAGACCACACACTCGACAGTGAGTATCCCAATACTCGGAGAGGAAGAAGTCTACACTTAATCCTCTCTCTTTAATTCAATACAAAGAGAATTTTATCCTTTAATTAAAGGTTGTGAATTAGTTTAACAATTGTTTGAGAAAACCCGTTTGACGTTTGATCAAGGGTTTGATTCCTTAAAAAGTTT